GTGAAACCCGTCCACGCGATACGCGCCACACAGCATGGCCAGAATGCGGCAAAGGCTTTCAGATCTGGCTACATTGATACATTGATCTGTTTATTGCATATTGGAGATCTTTAGAGAGAGGTGTTATTAGAGAGACGTGTTATCATGTATAGTGGGAACAGTGCATGTGTAGAGGGCAACAGTGCATGTATAGTGGGCAACAGTACACAGTTCACAACTAAGAAGCATATATAGTAAGGCTTTAATACATTGATCATTTACAGTCTATATAGTACAGAATACAACAGGTGCTTCCTAATATTTTATCATAATTGTTGTCTTGACAGACTGTGCCAACTTCAGTGTACCTCGTGATTATAGCAAGCAAAAAGTGAATGAAACAGTTCAAAGTTTTTTCCATGACAATAATCTCACAATAACATGGAGAAGGTAATTGGATTTTATGAATTTATATCTTATTATATATGCTTACAAATAATGTGGCATGATGTTTGGCACATCACTGATTCTATAGACAGTGAACCAGCTAGAGTAAATTCTAAAAAAAATAACTGCTCATGATAGAGCCAATCTGAGTTATGTCAGTTCAAGATTCAAATGTCATGGAAAATGATCCAAATATGCATATTTACACTGCATTGCTTCAAATGTCGTGGAAAATGATCCAAATATGCATATTTACACTGCATTGGTTCAAATGTCATGGAAAATGATCCAAATATGCATATTTACACTGCATTGGTTCAAGTGTCGTGGAAAATGATCGAAATATGCATATTTACACTGCATTGGTTCAAGTGTCATGGAAAATGATCCAAATATGCATATTTACACTGCATTGGTTCAAGTGTCGTGGAAAATGATCCAAATATGCATATTTACACTGCATTGGTTCAAGTGTCGTGGAAAATGATCCAAATATGCATCTTTACACTGCATTGGTTCAAATGTCATGGAAAATTATCCAAATATGCATATTTACACTGCAGTGGTTCAAATGTCATGGAAAATTATCCAAATATGCATATTTACACTGCATTGCTTCAAATGTCATGGAAAATTATCCAAATATGCAGATTTACACTGCTTTGGTTCATATGTCATGGAAAATTATCCAAACATGCATATTTACACTGCATTGGTTCAAATTACTCATTTATATCTCAAAATATTGCTCTGTAATGTTGGAGGAAAAAGCCATATATTACTTTCAGATAAATCTTAGTATAGTTAAAAACATGATATGAAATTAATTAGTCCCCGTTCGAACGCAGTTTTGACCTCCGTGCTTCCGTCCGGACCTGTATCTTAGAAATGCCTGGACCAAGTCCAATTGCTTTGATATTACATATATAGTTACTACATGTGGACCTCTCTCAGATTTGTTCA